TATTTGTAATGTAAATTAAGCGCTAACAAAAAAAATTATGTTTGGAAAATCTTATAGCTATTTTAAATGACCAGATAGTTTTTAAACATGTGTCTGTATTAAAAAAACACCTTACACGTTGAAAATCTATTTTTAACATTTTTGGAATGAAAATGATTCTGAAATAATTAGGATGTTGGAGATTCCTTTCGCACACATATTAATTTAATATCGGAGAAGAAAGAGCCGATTAATTATTGTAATACTTATTACTAAAGAGGAGCTTTCTAATGGAGAAGTAACATTTATAAGAATTCTACAGCGTTACAATTTTTCAAAATAATAATTGAAGTAGTAGTAAAGAGTTAGTTTATAAGAGCTATATATTTTTCCACTATCCCCTGTAAACCTAAAGTTTCGATATATAGATTGAGATCTATGTATTATACTTCTTAGGAACTGATGTACTTGAAATTTATGTGAAAGACATCGAGGAAGTTGATCGGAGAAGAAAAACTGAATATTTCGTGCGAATTTTCGCATTTGCGAGATATCTCATGAATCGTGGACCAGCTCTTTAGACAAAGGGTGCCTTCCAGCAACGAAATCACACAATCATACCCTGTGTAACACAGTCGATTTGTAACTGGAACGCTGCTCAGCATCCTTACTTACTACTTTTTGTTTTTTCCCACAGAGGGCAGGGTGGTAGTTTCACGCGCAGTTTCTTCGCTTGTAATTAGGTTTTTTCTGTGTATGTGCATGATTTGTAATTTAAAGTCGCAGAGGATACTATCACTGTAAAAAATAATAGCAAATATACCAATGTTGGTATCTATACTCTGTTTAATCCAATGAGAGAACGTGCATCAATCTACGCATAGGCAAAATAGGGAGAAATATGGACAATCCGTTGCTTCTGGGGCCTGGTGCCATTTATTGCAGGCACTGACACATTAAATAAGTGAAGGGGAAGATTAATGGGTGAAAATCTGCCTAAAACGGACGAATTTTCCGATTCGATGCACATTTACTCGTTGAACAAAGTATAATAGAAAAACCCAAAACATTAAACGCAGCTTTTCAGCTGTGTGTACAATTGTATGGTAGTTAAAAATATTGGGTCGTACACTGTGTTACAGTGTGTACGTTACTGAAAAGCATTCACAGAGTCGTCATCATAGATCTGAAATGCGTTAAATGCGATGGAGTGTGTGGGAATCTTGGTGAGTTGGCGCGAGTTTGCACTGGTGGCAAAGAGACTTGGACGGAATTAAGAAGGGGTTAAGGTTAAGCGTGGGCTGCGCTTTTTCTTAGCGTTCCTAAACCAGTTCCACCTAGCATTTTCCAAACTTTGGTCAGGTGGAACCTGACGTTCCTATCTTTCTCGGCTGCGTTTCTTACATTCTCATATATGAGACTTTTCTTCCCACCACAAACTCGTGCCCTCACTTTATTTCTTAATCCTGCAGCAGTAAAATTTCACGCAAGTATCTCTACTTCGAGACTTTGTTCTTTTGCTCTCTGTAATTTGTAAGAAGTACATTTTGATAGGTGATTAACGTATAACGTTACAAATTTGCAATATCAATGAATAATATATAATCGCAAGCCTAATGAAGAACATTCAATATTCAATATTGATGATAAAATTAAAGAATATATCAATTGCAATCTTATTGTATCTTGACAATATTAAATTTGCAAATTGACGGATTTACATGGAGTTTTTTTTATTAAGCCGTTTATAATTACCTCACGTTGCATTTAATTAATATTAATCCATTATTGTTTGGGTTTTTTATATTAATTTTCTACTTTCCTCGCACAAGTATTCAAAGAATAGATTTATCAAGCACGATTGACGAATCTGACAATTGATTAATATTATTATATGGGAATGGACTTTCACATTATTCTGTATTTCTTTGCATTTTATCGCTTTACATAAAAATGCTCGAACAAGCTTAGGTAAAAAATTTTCAGGATTTTTAGTTCAGGATTTTTAGTTATCTTACGTGCCACCGTTTCGAAAAAAAATTAAAAATTAAATCAAAAAATTTTAGGAATAAATATTTCTTGACTAATACATTGTCTTTATTTAATAAATCTTACAAGGTTTCGACCATAATTTTGATCCTTATTAAATGTGCTGAAATAATGTATTATAATAGTAATATAGTAATATATACAGGGTGTCCCAAAATTATCGGACACTCTGTTAATAGGGAGATACCTAAGATTATTTGGAGACGATTTTTGCTTTGCAAAACTGTCGAGGGAGATCATCATTTTTTCCATGTTCCCAATTTTTGCCATCATGTATCTTTATAACTAAACATTAAATTAAAATTTTATTAAAGTAAACTCTACTTGAAATTAATTGAAGAATGTGATTTTTTGTTAATACTTGATTTCCACAAGGCTTAGTTTGCGATAAACCCTTTATTTTCAATCGCTTATAACTCGAATATTATTGATGCTTCAACATTTTTCCCGAGAAAAAATTGTTTCCAAATAACCTAAGGAATTTCCCTATTAACAGGGTATCCGGTAATTTTGAGACACCCTGCATAATAATTCTTTTTTAAATCGAGAGAACAGCCGAATTCCCATTCGCGCGAATATTCCCTAAATGGGTGCAAATCGAATGTGGATGTCGGGCGAATTTCGACGATTTCCAAGGCCCGGAGCCATGGGGTCGCTCCTCTAATAATCGCACCGTGCACAGGTGGGTGGCGGCGGCGGGGGCAACGGCCTGTAGAGGAAGGGAAGTGCAAGAGGGTGGGAGGGGAAGGAGGGCTCGGTGGAGAGACTAGATCGATAATACATCTCTTGGCGGGCGTAGTTTCTCTTAGTCACCGAAGGGCGATCACTCCCGCGAGGAAGATATCCGTCCGTTTTACAGCCGTCGTTTCCCGGCTGCGCGTCGAGCAGGAGGTTAGTAGTAACGTCTGCGTCGAGTATTAACGTGGAACTCGCGCGATAACGAACGTGTAGGTTGATCGCAGGGCGCTGATTGGTATCTGATTGTTGCTCGTTTTAGTTCGTTTGTCGCTCTATTTTTTTGTTTTATTTATTTTTCTGGTGAAGTAAAAATCGTAAAAAAAATTCAACAGTTATTTTTATGATTGTTACAATTGTGTGATTTATTAATATTCTTACATAGTGATTGAAACATATTCAATGCGAGAATAAAAGAAATTTATAATTTGTAGATAAATTTTTTAATCACATAAATTACAGTGAAAGTTTTGTGAAATTTTTTTGTAATCTCGTTCTTGATAAATTTCTTAATTTAAATAACGCAATTTTTTTTTAAAGACAAATCTCTGTTATATAACTTGAAAACATTCAAGTAAAAAATATTGTGATATCTACTTGATACTAATTTGATATCTTTAGTAAAATAACACAAAAGTAAATTTAAGTTAGAAAATTCTATTTAAATCAACAAGTCGGGTACAAAGATTATTTTTAAATAATTAATATTATTTTTTCCTTTCTTGAAAAAAATTTTGCCCTTGATTACAGTCAATTTTATACGTAGCAGTTCTAATTTTTTTCTTTCGTACAAAATTTTTTTAATTTTATTATAGATAGAAACCGATCTGGCTTTACACCGATCTGAACTCAAATCATGTAAAATTTTATTAGTCGAACAGATTAAAATATTAAACTTCTTCATTTAATTTTTATTTTAATTCAACATCGAGGTCGCAATCATTTTTATTTTAATAAGATCTTTTTAAAAATAATACGCTGTTATCCCTAAGGTAATTAATTTTTACAATAATTATTATTAAAAAAATTCTTTTTTCTTAATTTAATAATCAATCCTTTATAAAAATTTTATTAATTTATGTTCAAATTATCTTAAAATTAAAGTTTATTTTATTTAATTATCCTCCCAATAAAATATAAATATTAAAATAAAATTTATTTCTTTAAATAAATTTAAAAATTATATTAAATTCAATAGGGTCTTCTCGTCCCATAATTTCTTTTAAGAATTTTAACTTAAAATTTAAATTTTAAATATACTAATTGAAACAGCTTTAATTTCATCAATCCCTTTATTCCAGTTTTTATTTAAAAAATAATTGATTATGCTACCTTTGCACAGTCAATATACTGCGGATATTTAAAAAAATCACTGACACTTTTTTAAACGTCTATAAATTATTATTACACAATCAGAATAAAGAATTGTAGTCTCATTTTAAAGCTTGAAAATGTGTGCTTTTAAGCATGTATGATTTTTTGTGATAAAAATTTCTACTTTAGCATGAATATTTTTTTGGAGAAAAAATATTTTTAGAGTAAATAAATGCTCCAAATTTGAGAAGCTTAAATTTATCAATTTTAAAGTGAAGAATTTTAATGTAGGAATTTAAAAATCTGAAAAATTAATATACATAATACTTATGATATATATTAAACTAGTAAACATTTTAAATTGTGTTTTTAAATTCTTTTGATAGGAGAAATTTTTTAAATCTGTGAAAAATGGCTATGAACTCTAATGAGAAAAATTCCTCAATTATTTCCCAAAATGTAATCGCGATTGTCAATTTTGAGAATTATGCAACTCATTATACAATAAATTTTATAAAAAAATCATATATGCTTGAAACTCTAACTTTTAAGTTTTGAAAATAAGAGCCCAGCTTTCTATCTTTGTGTCTTATCATAATAAAAGCTACAGACATTTAAAAAAATTGACATTTTGTGCTACATAAAAATTGTTTAAGATAGAACATTTTTTAAAAAATAAGTCTGCTCTAGAAAGCATATAAAAAGTTATTAAAATTTAAAATCATGCAGCAAGCAATTAATTTATTTTTAATGTCAATTTATATTAGAATAATCCTGAAAAAATGGCATTTGACTTTAAATTCGATAAAATAAAACATAGAAAGAAAAGTGTCTTTTTATGATTTTAAATATACGTAGATAATAATAATATCCGGCGAACATGATACTTGACTCTCGATTTAACTTTCGTATGTTTATTTCAGAATCCCTTCAGCATGCATTGATCCCTGAAGCGGAGAATGTAGCGGACAGTGAAGATTCCGAGGACGAGTGGAATTATTACCGTATCGATCCGAATAAAAAGGAATCTGCGGCTAGCGAATCCATCGAGGACGTTGAGAAGCAAAGGAGCGCACAGAATCCCGAATCTGTTCCGAGAGATAGTTCGGAGGAGGTCCAGTCTTCAAAAGTCGAGGAGGTCGGCGTTAAATTTAAAAAATTCGAGGACCTAGAGAGCTTCGCCCTTAAGCTTGTCGATCTCAAACTCGATGTAAATATAATTTCATTAATCGTTCTGGACCAAATTAAACGAGTAATTAAATTTAAACTCTTTAATTTGCCGATATTTGTTTTATACATACAAATATGAATTAATTTAATTTATCTCATTATTATTTAATTGTAATTTTCTAACATACACACTGAAGAAGACTAACAATAAGTAAAGCCTAAACATTTGTATTATTAGGTTTAAATTTTTATTCAAAGCGCTTTTGTTTAATTGACACATTAATTGCTCGTTTAATTTGGTCCAGAACGAATTAATTCATTTGCTTTGCAACACAAGCCATATTCCTCTTATTCTTTTAATTTTAAATACAATTTGCATTATTATTTTTTCATAATTCACATGCCAAAGTAGTGTTTCGAAAAAATGAACCCGATTTCAAATCTCTACCCAGGAAGCAAGCATACATCATTTTGACGTTGAATGACGTCAGTTTGCTACTTGGGTATATTTCTGGAATCACAAACCGCCTATAAATGAAATCATTAACACTTGAGAGTCATAAAGTTTCGAGTGATCACCACTAGATCCCAGCGCACTACAATTTAACTTTTCGATTTGTACTCGCCAAATGGCGCTGCCGAGGTCATATTCTTTTTTCTCAATAAAAAACTATTTCCATTTTGAAATATAGATTCGAAATCGTGTTCATCTTTCTGAAACACCCTGTATATACAATTTCGAATAACAATATCGCTCTACCACTTTCAGATAAGCTTCGAAGAGGATCCGAGCGAATCGGAGAAGAAGGATCACGGAGAGAAGAGAAAACAGGCAGACGACGACGACGACGACGACGACGACGACGATAAAGAAGACATGGAATCCCGATTGAATCCCGAGGCGGCCGAGTTCGTCCCGTCATCGCCACCGCTGCTGAATAACAGGAACAATGCTCTTCAGGATTATCCTATCAGCGGCTCTCCCCTAAAGCAGACGCCGGCGATGGACGACATCCTGATACCGAGTCAGAGCGAGTTCGAGAAAGAGGTCTGCCTCCGACCTAAGGAGATAGACGAGGACTTCCCCAGCAATGACGAGCAGCAGAAGCAACAGCCCGCCGCAGCAGCGGCGTGCGACAATAATCTAGACTTGGATGTGTCCGAGATCTCGTCGACCAAGGTCGAGGTGGGCGACGATTCCCTGGCACGTAACGTGTCCACGACGCAGTGGCAGGCGGACCTCTCGCAGTGGAGCACGACGACTCGCAACGACGCCGGCTCCGACTCGGAGGAGTACGATATCGTCAACCGGGACAGCGATCCTATGACGATGTCTTTCACTCCGGGCGACCTTGAGGCGGCGTTCGAGAAGGGCGTCGATTTGAACGCTGTGCATGAGCTGGACGACAGCTCGGACGACAACACGCCACCAGGCTCGCCTGGTGGACAGCGTGCGAACGAGAATGTACGCGCGTACACGCCCTTGTCGGACTGCAAGGACCCGATTGATCTTCTGTTATCGTCGACACCGCATCCCGCGGACAGCCAATCGATACGCACCACCTCTGAGTCGGATGACCGAGCGCAAGCCCCGACGTACTCGGCCTTCATGACATGCAACGAGGCTATATCTACGGAACAGCAGCTCGGTGTCGCTCCTCTCGCGGAATCGACCATTTCCCGTCCTGATCAGTCAACGAATCCGTTCCAAGTGGACAATAACGAGTCTAGCGAGCGCGATTATACCGAATCCTCGGCTCCCGCGGAATCCACGCAGGAGGTTCGCGAAGAAAACAAGACACTGATAGAGCAACTTATGGAGCATGAACAACTGCAGGAAAATGTTGACGAGACGCAATCCGAATCGCGCGTCGTGTTTAGCGAATTAGTTCCGCTCTCTTCTGATATTCTAGTTCCTGAGATTCCTGAATCGGTCAGGCCGCCGTTAAGCGAAGACAAGAAGGCTGACGACATTAAAAAACCATGGAAATTGAGAATTATTAAAGCACCATATCTACAGTTAGGCGAATATGAACCACCTCGCGACCCCTCTATCCGGAAACATCCGTACGGAGAAGAGAGGTATGTAATGTTTCTGAATGATGATGAAGATGTAAGAGGCAGAACTACTCTCGACTTTTCGAAATCCGATTACTCTCCCAAAGTGGATTGCGATACCCATAAAGATGATACCCATAAAGATGATACCCACAATAAGGATCGCGATACCCACAGTTCTAAAAAGCAATGCTGCAACGATCATCCCGACAAATTCGAGAAAGACGACGACGACGACGTCGCACCTAACAATATAATTTCCTCCGAAGAGTCATTGAAGTGTCTAGAGTTCAAGGAGAAGCCAAATCAACCGAAGAGTCAGACGCCCGGGTCGACTCGCCGCGTATTATCAAATTTCATGCAAGCCGAGGCGCACCTAAAAGGACTAAAATTATTCGGGGTAAGAAGGAAAACGATCCAAACATCCGAAGATACTCCCGTCAGCAAAGAGGAAAAGACGAAACCACCAGCGAAGGACCAGAAGGCGACGACGACCTTGACGAAGCGTTCAACGAAAACAGCAACGACCTCAACGACGAAATCGGCGACGAAAGCGACATCACCCACCAAAGCGGTCAGCTCGATCACCAGCTCGCGAACAACCGCGGCGTCGTCGCCGGCGCAGTCAGCCACCGCGAAGAAGCTCGCCGCGCCTCGTCCTAAGCCGGAAGTTTTCACTAGGACGTTGGCGGCGATCTCCGATCGTACCAGTGGCAAGGTCACCGGCACCAAGACCACGTCGTCGGCCAATAGGAGCGCGACGACGACGGTAACAGCGACGAAGACCAGCGTCTCGCCGCGGGTCAGCACGGTAAAGTCCAAGACCAGCGCCACCGTCACCGCCTCGTCGAGGTTAAGCGCCTCGGCGACGTCGGCCGAGAAGAGACCGACGACGAACAAGGTAGCCGGCGCCTCCGCCAGGGCAACGAGTGCGAGAAGCACGACTACCGCGGGGATCACCACGAACGCGCCGCTCGTGAATACCTCGCTGTCGACGATCGCGAAAACGTCGACCGCGACGTCGAAGTCGCCGAGAGCCACTTCGGCTGGGACTATCGCTAAAACGTCACCGCTGACGACGTCCGCGAGACTGTCGACGACGACATCGAGACCCAGGACCGCGCCGTCGACCGTCAGCGTCCCGAAGCCCCGCGAGAGCTCCGCGAAGACGACCACCCCGGCCAAGTCGCCGCTGATCGACAAACAGAGCAAGGATACGGTCAACAAGCAGATCTCCCGGTCCAGCGCGACCGGGAGCAGTGGGTCCTCCAGGATCGGTAGTGGTAGAATTTTCGCGTCCGGAAAATCGCGCTCTGGCGGCAAATCACCAGGAGGCAATAAAGCGCCCGAGACCGCGATCTCGCCCTCGACGAAGAAGACGAGCCCGCCAGCGAAGCCGGGCGAGCAGAAGAGCGACGACAATACTCTCTCCACGAAGAAGTCGACCCTGCTCCTGTCGCTAGAGAATTTGTCGAACGGATCCCCCGAGGATCAAACGGTGGAAAACGCGAACAGAATTATAACGGCGACGAGCGACAAGCCGGAGGACGACGTGCCACAGAAGGACGCGTCGCCTCTGGACATACCGACCGACAATCAGCTAATATTCACCGATTGAGGCGGAGGAGATGGAGCTCGCCGACAGCGCGATCTACCGGCCTAGGGATTAAGACGTAGAATTTTTATGCGAACCGTTGTAGGTTTTTTCCTCTTTTTTTTTATAATAATTCTTATTTAACGAACGGACAAGAACAACAAGAGAGTGCTGCGGAGGAGATTTTTAGTATTTAGGATATAATATATATGTCGAATGAACAACAGACACAAATTTTTGCTGTCCTAACGTAAGGCGAGTGAAGCGAGCGAGGCATAGTTATTCTAAAATATCGCTTTCAACTACTGCCTTATCATAATAAAAATCGATAATCTCTCTTATTATGTAAATATATAATTTGGATGCGTTTTTCATGCGTCGTTTTTTTCCTTTTGTTTTCAAATAATGAGTTAATTCTTTGTGGACACCTGAGACCGTCCGAGGATAAAACCTGGAAGCAGATTTAAAAATTCTGATACGGCAGTACGTTAATCTTTAAACATTTAACGCATAAAATACGCATGTATGGATTTTTTATCATTTTTTAATTTTATATTGCGCAACTGCAATTGATGAACAATTATTCGCGATACACTTTTACTTGAATGACAAAAGAAAGAGAAAAGTGGAGGAGGGAAAGGAAAAATAGAGGGATAAAAAACATATTTATTCTTGTTTGTTCCTATTTTTTTTGAAGTTGAATTCATTGCGAGATTATATATCGACTCGTAATCATGATAATACAACGCTATCTCTATCTAATCTATGTACAGCACCTTTATGATTTTAATGTGATACCTTAAAATACTTCTTAAGTAAATTTGAATGATACAGGGGGAGAATTTTATATATGTATATGGATATAGGGGAAAAGTAAGAGGAACGAGATTCCCTCACTCGAAACTTTAAAATGAGAGAAAATTCAAAAGGAAACATAGACGTAAGAAATACATATATTACACTATACTATACCATATATATATATCATGAATATGTGTATGTATAGATATATATATATATATATATATTTGTTTCTCTTATTTTTAATTTTTTCTCTCATCGAAATTTTCAAATCTCGTTCCTTTTTTTTTATTTCTCGAGCTGCACGCGCGCGAAACTTTTTTTTACCACATAATAAAAAAATCGTAAATTTTATTTTTAAAGTTTATTCACACAGAGACATCGAATATGCTTCTATTATGTTAACGAAGTAAAAAAAATAAAATAAATAAAAATTAATTTAAATTTGATGAAAGTCGCTAAATAAAATCAAATATCAGTAAATAAAATCAAATCAAAGAAAGGTTTTTTTTCACAAATGATAAAAACATTCGGAACGGATGATGTATTCAAGAGGCATTCGAGGAGATTAAAAAAATTTTTCTTTTCCTTTTTTATCGCACTTGACATCTGATCGTGGAGAAGCTTAATATTTATTTCGTCCCCGATGAATTATTCTTATTGCACTGATGGCCTTCAAATATGCAGCGAACGAACAAATAATATGTTTGAATGCGCTCGCGAGAATCCTTTTGCGATACCCGATGAGATATTTGTATGTACACACACACGCACAATATTCAATCCGTTATATATATATATATATTATTGTAACGTCTCTCGTGTGTTTATCAAAGAAAGAGCGAGCGTTTTGCACGCGAATGCGTGTGATATTCCGATTTCTTATATCTACGCGTATTTGTCACCATTTATTTCTCTCTTAGAATTCATACTTAAATAAATGGCATATTACGTTTGAATTTTATAATGTTGTCAGTGTTTGTACGTTTTTATTCTCTTGGGGCTCTTGACTCCTCGCCGCGGCCATATTAAATTGTGACGTTAGACAAATTAAATATATACGCTGGAAATTCTTGCGTATCATTTGTAGATAAAAAGATATTTTAATGAAGGACAATTTCAGATGGCTTTTTTCCCTTAACAGTCAATCAACAAGCGTAAAACAATAATTGCCTTTGTGAACGTCACAATTCCAACATGGCCAGCGAAGACCCGAAAAAAAATCAAGACCCAAACTTGAACTAAATAGTAGATTCGAAAGTAAATAAAAACCTAGATTAAGAGTATGTCGATATTACTTTTCTGAGAATTTTTTATTTATGGAATTAAAAAATCTTAGAATACACTATTTGTAAAAGATTTGAATCTTTACAATGGGTGATTTCCATTTAACGATACAAGACGATCCAAATTATCTTTTTTCTTCCAATGTGGAAAAAAGTTGATTTTTTCAACTTTCATTATTAAATGGAAAAACCTAATAAATAGTATTTAATTTATATAAGAATTGTTTCGAATCTTGCAGGTGTAACTCTATCTAAAATTTGAATAATTGTTCTAGAGATTATTTCACAAATACAATATATATAAGATATTATTTCTTGAGTATTCTAATCCTAGAAGAAATTGAACTTGATTATTGGAAATTAAACAATAATGATATAAGGTTCTCAATAAAATATTAAAATTTAAAATTAATTCTGGGCAGTTAAGAACCAATGCAGGATAGAAAATGCCAAATAACCATTTTTCAATGATGATTTTTTATTATTGGATTCAACTCGGATTTTTAAGTACATATTGTACTTGATCCCAGTTCTAATTTTTTATCTGATCTTACATCAATTGGATCTTTTTTAAGAGGAGAATAATGTAGGAAGAAAAGAAAATGTTTTCATTATCCTTTGATTTCTTTAATAGAACAATCCGATGTATTAAGTATTACATACTATTTAAATTAGAAAGTGGTTTTACAGTCTTTTATATATACGTTTGGCTTTAACATCGCTTCTATTGGTGGATACGTGCTGAAACAAAAGAAAAAAGAGAAAATACATATAGGAACATTTTTATATTATTAAGTTTTGTGTCCAGGATGCTAGAACTCTAATCAAGAAAACTTGAACCGAGTTCTAGCATTCCTAACAGCACACATCCCGAAGATGTTCAGAGAACATCCTGAGGATATTCGAATGTCCTCTGGATATCCTCAGAATGTTTTTCGGATATGATTCGGATGTGCTATTAGGGATTCAAAGGTTTCACGCATTTATTTTTACTAAAAATCACACTTACCGCGACCATTCCTGTGTCTGTGAATTCGTAGACTCTGGTTAATTTGAGTTCTGGGGATAAGGAGGTCTCCGTTTTGAAGCCGTTGCCCTCTTTCGTAGTCACGCTCTGCAGCAAGATTCAAAAATGAAGTTTGTCCCTTTTTGTCAATGAAAGATTCTTTCCAAACCGAGCAAATCAATATATGTTATATATATATAAATTATTTTATTCAATTTTTACTTTATATAATTTTTTAAGAAGATAAATATTTTTTAGGACTCCTAATTCATATGTTAGATTGTGACGTCAGAGAAAATACGCGCTAAAAATTTTTGCGTGCCATTTTTAGATAAAATACTTTGATAAAAGACAACTTCAGACTTATTCATGCATTAGCACCATTTTTAAAATACTCCGAAAACTATCTCTTTTTTTCTTCAAAATGCAAGACTATATACAGATTCATATCACATAGTCATAGTTATTATAGCTGTTGATTGATTGTAAAAAGATAAAGATAGCTTTCAGAATATTTTAAAAGTGTGCTAAAGCTATCTAAAGTGATGTTCATCTTTGACATCACAATTCCAACATGGTCGGCGAGAATCCAGAGATTTTAAGGGTCAATTTCACCATCTCTGGTTAACTTAATCAGTCATAATTAAATTTAAGAATTGCAACTTCAAAGCTTAAAATTAACTAACTTTATCCACATTTACATATAACATATGTCTGTGCTTTGCAGTTGGTAATTTTTAAATTTAATCGGTCGATTAATAAGTTAACCGCAGATGATGAAACTACCCCTAAATTATATTTTGGTAAAAAATAAAATAGAGATCATATATATATCGCATCGTAATATATATAGCGTCTCCAGAATTTTGGTGGATGCAGAAAATCTTCCAAGTTCCAACCCAGGTAGCAAGCGCGTACGTCATTTGACGTTTAATAACGTCAGCTTGCTACTTGGGAATCTCAAGCAAACCTGAACGCTTTCAAAAGCTTAAAATTTTTTTGTTAATTTATTAAATTTGACGTATACCACTCCCCGTTCAAAAGCGATACTCAGATAGCAGACTGACGTCATTAAACGTCAAAATAACGGTCATTGACGTCACTAAACGTCAAAATAACGGTCATTGACGTCACTAAACGTCACATTGTAGATTAGGCTTTAATGACTAATGATTAATCTACTGGGTCTATATTTTACCTTAAAAGGGACGCTCTGAGATGGAAATCGCTCGTCGTAGACGTCCCCGAGCTTGAAGGTGCTGGAGACGGTCTTGTTCTGATTGGTGATCGAGACCACCCATTGATCTCCGTTCTGCTGGATCTCCACGATCGGGCTGGACTGTATGAACGAGTCCGTGAGTTCGGACTTGCCGATGGTCTTGACGAATTCCTCGGTGTTCTCGCTCGACTCGTACTGGTACTTGCCCACAATGTGCGCCATGATAGGTTATAAGGATTTTATCTAACGTTTCGCGCGCGCACAAATCAGAGAGATGGCGGAAAATTGGCCGTCAAAGGGAGACACTCGGCGCGTGAGAGGCGCGCCGGCTTTTATAACGACATCCGTAGATTCAAAGAGGGGGCTAGGTGAGGGAGAGGGAAGAGAGAGATTTCGTTAAGGGATATCTCTCTCCGCAAGAGAGGGAGAAACCCAATCTGCTGATACGGTTCCGGACAAAGTATTCGACGGATTATCCGAGTCGACAGGCGGATAGAGACCCATCGTTTTTTTTGTCGTCGTATATATGCGACGGAAGGGAGATGCCGCATTTATTCGCGTCCATTTGCCGGGTCCATTTGTGTGTGTTGGTTACTTTGCAACTTACATCCTGCTCCGACTCTCGGAGTGGGTAAATTTATATCTTTCTTGATGTATACAAGCATTCATCATCCCTTATGGAAATTTATCACTAGTAAGTCTAAATAATCACTTATTTCGAGTACTTAAATTACTGTATATCAGTAATTTAAGTACTCGAAATAAATAATTATTTTTGGACTTACTATAGTGATAAATTTCCATAAGGAATTGACGTCAACTTCGTATCGTACTATTTTTTTGTATAAAATTAGATCAAATTAAAGGTATAAAATATCTCGTAAACAATTTAAAAAAAAATAGAATGGTTTTATTTAATATTACTAGATTGACCTTCAAATGACCTTATAAAAGACGCCATCCAAGAAGAACTTTAGATCACGATATTATATGTATATGCCTTTCGAAATTCTATAATTTTTGCCTGATATATATTTTTTATAAATTTTTGCCTCTTAAGATTAAAATAAAATCATTTTGTATATATTTATAAATCTGCTTATTATATAATTTTGTACATAAATATTATATAATTTGCTGAATTCTATATTATTATACAGAAATTATGGTGCATTTTATATTACATTATTATATATACAGTTGCGCTTAGGTGATTTTAAAATTAGCTAGATAAAGATGAGATAAAAATTTGTAAATTTATCTTATATAAGATAAAAATAATTTTGTTTTAAATATATCTAGATAAAAGATAAAATTATATGGCGATTTATTTAGATAATTTTCAGATAATGTTATTTTTAAAAGTACTTATATATAAATACAGTTATAAAAAAATGTAAAGTATGAAAAGGATATAAAAAATATATTTTTATTTTTATTAAAATAGCATAAAATTACGAATCATTTTAATAAATTTTAATTGTGCATATATAAATACAGTTATAAAAAAATGTAAAGTATGAAAAGGATATAAAAAATATATTTTTATTTTTATTAAAATAGCATAAAATTACGAATCATTTTAATAAATTTTAATTGTGCATTATGATGTTATATTGTTAACATACATTTTCTATATTTTATAAAATAGCAATATCATGCACTTCACTATAAACGCAATTATTATAAGACTATAAATTACTAAATTTGGCTCTCTGCAATTATTATATTTCTGACAAAATAAGCAGCATATTTCCGCAATTTTCACAGAATTAGAAGATCCTCTCACTTGCTGATAATACTCATGTATCATACATGAGGACGCATCTGTTAATGTTTATGCAAGCATTTTCAATCTTAAAATGTTGTCATTATGCAGGCAATCTGCTGATATATGTCTATCTGGGTCGATGCAAAAAATTGAAATTGCAATAAACATGATCATTATAATTGTTTTCATCACAACAATAATGAATAAATAACTGTATCTTCGTAAAATATCATCACAAATTCGATAATGATGAGGTAATCCCAATTTAGTTATAATCTTATATATATCGACCTGATATATTATATCGATAATCTCCCCTCGGACTTTTTATTATCGCTTATTTGTCTCGAGATATGTCTGCATGTACACCTTTTTAAGTTAAAAATTTAATTTTACGTATCGCTTTTATCGCAAAGGAGCAAAGTTAAACACAGATGAGCAGATGGATGCAACTTCAAGTGTTATACGGGCAGGGCAAATTTCGCGGCAATTTGAATAACACTTGAGACTTTGAGACGGAGCATCGATCATATAAGTATGTGTGTGTGTGTGTGTTTGTCTGTGTGAGATACGAAAGTACACGAGCTGCACCGGATATCCATCACATATTCGTTAATATATATATACATATATATATAGGTTTTTTCCATAATTTTTATCCGCAGAAACATACGTAACAATTTATTAACAATGAAATCATGCACAAAAATAACTGGTGACATCATTATTGGCAAAAAATTCTCGTTTAATGTATAAGATGTATATTATATAATATATAAAAATATAGTACAATTTATATATATAAATCCGGCATTTGAAGGTGACCTTTATTTTGACTTAATAGGGATCATTTCAAGATCAACTTTACTTTTTTGAGATCAACTTAATTTTTTTTTAAATGGAACCATATTATAATCCTTTTATAAATCGATTCCTTGCAATATTGGGCATGAAAAATTATAAGGGTTGGATGATCAAAAAGTGAATAATTTATGTAAAATTATGTCATATATTTTAAAGTGCAAAATATCTTATAAGAACTTTTTCCTCATTTTCTATAACTATCGTTTAAATGTTTGGCATATCTTAAAATTTTTAGAAGATATAATTATAATTATATATATTTTTCTCACCAATACAAAATTATTTTCTTGATAAAAACCATGTTTATTTATAATTATTTATTTTATTTTGATAAAGTTAAAAATGAAAGCAACAAAATAAAATAACGTAATTTAAAAAATATGACATTGCATGGGAAAAACTCGACAGAGCTCTATTATAAAAATTATAATTAAATTTAAAAAATTATAAAAATTCTACAGGAGATCTACGAAAATTTGGTGCTATATATTGAAAGCAGAAACTATCTAAAAATTAAGCAAGAGTATACGGTTCAATCGAAAGGATTCTTTTGCGAAAAAAAGTTTAAGTAATTTACTTGTTAACATTGTAAATACATGTAAATTTTTACTTTAAAGTTTTATAATTTAAAAATAGTGTACGTTCTTGTAACTAAGTATATATTGATATATTTTAAATAAAATAATAATAATAATAATAAAATAGAGAGAGAGGGTGCGATTCGCGTAACGTGACTACCTTAAATTATTCTGCTGTTAATGGACGATCAATATTTTTTACGTCGCATAATATAGTTCAAAAAGGTCTTTAATCATACACTTTTTTAGTTATTTTTTTCAGTTTTTAAGATGTGTATGTGTCATCTTGAGTCTTTTATTATTTTAACATTAACTATATTTTTTCAGCGGATATTGAGACAAATTCAATAAGCATCATAAAACATTTTAAAATTGAATAAATTTGTTGAACTATTTCATATTTTAATTTGGCAACTTTTTATAAACTAAAATATCTTATAAAATATTCATTTTTTGATAATCTTACCTCAATACTTTGCAAAATAAAATAAGAGGAATGAATTAGTGTAGAGAAAATACAGAATGTTTTTAAGAAAATAAAATCTGTAATTTGTAACTACAAATTTTTTTAAGAACTATGTGTTTTTTACACCAAAATTAATTTGGTCAATTTTTTGAAAAGTATAATTATTTATTTTAATATTTAAAAATTCCAATACTTCTATTTCGTATTTTAATGTATAATTATTAAGCCTTAAATTAAAATTAATTCTATATCACACTAATAAATATGCATCAGAAGTTTTTAATTAAAAAACTCATTTAAAGAACTTTTATTGTACACCTTATAGTATAATTTTCGAACACCTTGTATACACGTACATCTCGTATCTCTCGGCAAAGAATCAAGAAAACAGTTCCAGAGAGCGAAATGCTTCACGGTCACTAGACGAGATCAGTGATCATTATTCATTACGTTTTTTTCATTAATCAATGCGGAAAACACATCATCTTTATTATGTAATATTAACGAAGCGAGTGAATCATACACGAGTATATATATATATACATATATATGTAGATTTACAGATAAATATATAGAAGAAAATCCCGCGATATAATTTTATTAATTTTATACATTATCTTCGGTATATTTTTAATTTTTGTTTTCACACAGATATATATATATATATATATATATATATATATATATATATATGTATATATACATACACGTGAATTTTTGTCACCATTAATCGCGCTTATCGATATGATAAGAAAGTCAGATCATGTTTAAAATAGATTTAAATTAGAATATTAAAATAGAACCTTATTTCCATTGAAAAATGAAAAATGTAAAATGCTTTTTGGATACTCATTTCTCATACAGCACAAAATATTATGAACGTTTTCAAAAAATATTTCTAAATATTTCTATAAAATATTGCATAAAAACATTTTAAAATGGTTTTAGGAATATTTTAAAATAATTTAAAAATTTTTTGTGATAACATTTTTTAGAATATTTTAAAAAACTTTTAAAAAATGTTTTTCTTTATCGCTCAGATAATATTTTCTTAAATATTTGATACGTATATTTTTGAAATATTAGTTTAAATATCTATATTCAAAAATATTTCTGAAAATATTTTTTAAACATGAAAAAGCGGACATAGAAACATTTTAAAAATATATTATTTTATGTTTTAAGACATATTTTTAAAAGATTTTAAAATTTGTGCTGTATGGGTTAATAAAATAATGAAAAATGAATATTTTTTAAATGACTTTAATTAAAAATAATTTTTTTTATTATTTATGTTTAAATTTTTTAAATATATTATTTTGTTTTAAGTTATTTATATATGTATAAATTTTAAAAATATATTATTTTATGTTTTAAGACATATTTTTAAAAGATTTTAAAATTTGTGCTGTATGAGTTAATAAAATAATGAAAAATGAATATTTTTTAAATAACATTAATTAAAAATAATTTTTTTTATTATTTATATATGTATAAATTTTTCTTTTTTTAATATAAATTTGCTGAATTACAAAAAATTGAATATTATATTTTATATATGAGCTAGATTACAAAAAAATATTTCTATCCATCTTGTTTTATCTATATCTATTTCTATTATCTATATCTGTCTATATCTACA